TGTACATGTTTCAATTCGTAATAAGTTTGGGAGGAAATCCTGATCTGAAACAAGAAAGAGTCATATCTGCCTATTTAAACTAAAGGTATGTATTTTGGTGCTAAGCAAACCACGGTGAGCTCTAGATCGGTCTTAAGGGTCTATGCTTCCACTCTGTTCCTTAACCCATATGACTTTAAAGGCCACCCTCCAAGTGTAAAGTTTTTAACAATATTTTATATTTAATTTTTCCATAGCACCAATGTGCAATTATTCTTTTAGTAAATGAATATATATGCACGATGTACATTTTATACTCAAAAATAATATATAGTGGTCAACACAAAATATCATTACGTTTCCTTAAACCTTTTTATTTTGCTGTGGACTTCGGACTTCTGAAAAAATATATTACACTAGAGTGTTATGTTTAGCATATAATATGTACCGTTACAGAGTTAAATACTTAGTATTTAATTTTTATCACTCCCCTCCTTCTCCTTGTGGCTGGTGTGTGTGTGTGTGTGTGTGTGTGTGTGTGTGTGTGTGTGTGTGTGTGACACAGTGTAGGTGCCAATAGAGATTAGAGGACATCAGATTCCCTGAAGCTGAAGTTTGAGGAGGTTATGAGCTGCCTTCGATGGGTGAGTTATTTTTCCCTAGATTAGTCATACATACTCTTAATACTGAGCCATCTTTACAACAACAAAATGGTGATGTAATATTATAAATAATGATTTAACTAATTATCAACATTAGCGATGGATGTAACAATGTCTCTAATGATGAGTAGTATCAGTGGCAGTGAAAATATTAGTTAAGTATTCTATTTAAAGACAGCTTGGTTGAAACTGTGTGTTAGAATTCTCTTCAGTCATGATGGATACTCTTATACAAACAGCGATGGAAATTTAGGGAGGAACAAAACAGAAAAGATCATTTATTTCATTTCTGGTTTTATTTAGTTTTTACTTATTCTTTAACTTATACATAAAACTATGCATAGAGATATGGTACCAAGTTATAGTTCAATACCTGTATATATTATATACTACTTAAATGATCCAAAGAATAGCAAACTCTTGAAATACTCACTTATCATGAATACATTTAAATGCATCATTTGAACCTTGAAAACAAACTACATATTATTGTTATCCACAGCTCCCCACTGTGTACCAGCACTCAAGAAACTCACTCCTTTCTCAATGTAAATTGGTGTCTTGTCATATCTCCTTCCTTAGTTTTGTGCTCCTTAACTTTCATTCTATTGTCAACTTCTTTGAGTTTAAAAAAATCTGAACATTCTACTGTTCCAATCAAAATTTTACATTGTATTTGTCTTGTCATTATAGGTGTATTTCAGTTGATAATGTGAAGTCCAATTTAGTCTTATCAGTGCCACTGACAGAGTTTCACTGTCATGGCCAAGCAGTAAATCATCAGTTGTATTCCATATTCTTTTCAGAACCCACTTAGTAAAAGCCAAGCAATTAATTTGTTTCCAAACACTGGCGGTTGTGAATGGTGTTAGAGCAGGTGTGAAGTACAGATTTTTATCAACAGGCTGGTTCCTTTTCCCTTTGATAAATTTGGAAGCTTGAATAACAGGTTATAAGACAGCCATGTTTACTAGATTATGTAATATCTATCTTCATTACACGATAACTGAGAAAGATTATACTTGTTATCATACCATTGCCAGCATTTTTCTCTTCTGTAATTTTGATAACAACCATTCCTATAACTGTGATCTATATGTATATATACACATATCATACATACATATATAATTTTATTACTTATAGTTTATATTAAAATTTCCTTGGTGATGTTAGAAAAAAATTCTCTGTCTCTTGTGGATTTTTTTATCTTCCCTTTAGAAATCTGTAATATTTGCAAATAGTTTTTTTCTTCAAATATGGTTTCTGATTTTTCTGTTCAAATTTTTTTAAGTTTCTTGTACATTATAGATACTAACTTATATTCTATACTGCATTTTAACTCATCCTGTAACTCTTTCTTTCAACTTGATTTTAATTTCTTTCTTCTTACAGGTTTCTTTTTAGTGTAATTTTCGTTCTTTGTGCCTTTGAAGGGTACAGTCTCTTTCCCTATTACAATTTTGTGAAATATATCTTCAATTGTATTTTTGCATGTAAAATTTTATTGTATCTTATCTTACATTCAGTTATTTAGTATGTTTAGATTGATTATATAGTTGATGAGGCAAAGTCCTAATTCTATTATTGAGCTTTCGAACACATCATTTTGCTAACACCATTTATTGACAATACTGACCTTATGCCATTCAGGTTCCTAGTAATTTGATATAAATTATTTGGCTATCAGTGTTGGGTTTATTTCAAATCACCTTGTTTTATCTCTTGGTTTGTTCTATGCAATGTCCTTGTTGCGTGGATGACTAGCATTTTTCAGTATATTTCAAAGTCGTGGATTTTTTTTCTCCAGCTTTGCCATTTCACTCAACAATACTGTGATTAGTATAGGTTCCCCACCAGTTCTGTATGTTAAATTTAATATTTAGTTACATAAAATTTGTCACTGATGATCTGAAAGAATTCTCACTGAATCTATAGATTATCCTGAGTAGGAAAAACATTTTGACAAGGTTGATTCTAAATTTGGCATATTTAGCTCGTTCTATCTCAAACAGGAATATTGAAGTTTTTCCATATTATGTATGATATTAGCTTTAATTATTTATATTAAACAATATTTTAATATGATAATGTATGTTCTTTGCATGTTAAATTTAGTTATTTCATACTTTCAGATATGAAAGGATTATAAATTATATGAGATATCTTTTCTGGATCACGATTGTGAGCTACTTTTTATCCCATGCTCTGTTGTGCTGCTCTGTGCTTGCTTATCAATTTAAAATATCAATTTAAACCAAGTGTTGCCTTCATTTCTGACATGAGTATCACTTGTTTATGCTATATACTCAGTGTAACTTTTAAGTTAATTTACAAACATTTCAATAAGAACACTTCATCTACATTTAGAAAAAGTGCTAGCTTATAGAAGTCTTCCTGTTGAATTAACATATGGCTTTGTGAATAAGTCTGTGGGTGCTGATCTAATCAATGAGTTAGGAAATATTTCCCTATCCTCAATATTTTGTAATAATGTAAGAACTTATTTCTCCTCCTGAGCTTTCCTTGTTAAGAGATCACTTATGCCTAATCTCTCATTACTGGATTTTGACATGTTCAGATTTCCTATTTTTTATTGATGTTGTATTAGGCTGAAACAAGTCCCTAAATTAGCTCTTACTTTAGGAATACTTTAGCATACACATTGCCACACAGTTTCTAATAATAATCTCTAAGAATTCATTGTACCTGTGATATTCTATGCTCATATTTCAATATTTAGCTATTAAATTAATGTTAATAAATAACACACAGCTTATTTTAGTGACAGACTGAGTAAGGCCAGTAAAGTGAGAAGAGCTTTGATATAGAAATATCAAATGTATTACAAGATAAAGAATTGGGGAGTCGAAGAAAAGAGGAAATAAACATGTTAAATAGAGGATTAAGTAAAAATAAAATTCAAAACATAAATGATGCTAGTGATTATTTTAAAATGTATTTTGCATTTATCATAAGCTCCCTTTATTTCAGACTTCACCAAATTTTAATTTCATCTTGATTTAGGTTAAGAAGATCACTTAATATTTATGACAGTATAATATGACCATAATAAGAATTATTTTTCACACCAAGATAAAGAATTTAAACTGATTTCATTGACCTAAAAAGAAAGATCTGACATGTCTTTATTATCAATAAAGGAGAATATGTTATCAAAGGTCTCAAGTGGTGTGCAATCTCTATTTCCACAAATGGTAACATTAATCACAATGCCAGTTTGAGTTTAGTTACATTCTTCACGTTATATATAAAATGATGTGGTTGAAAAGAAAAATTGGGTGTTTACTTCTGTTCATGATACAAAATCATATTTTCATGTTTTCCACCTTGATTTTCTGAACCATTCCTCAGGTATAATCATGCAAACTACCTAATACGTACATAGATTCTTTGTGAATAGCTAAAACAAAAGTCCTTATTAACAAATCATATATATCCTTTAATTATAATTGTCTACATGAAGAAAGGATTTTAGTTTCTTTATATGACAGAGTATCTTTTCATTCCTTAATATTTTCTCATTTTTACTTCCTAACAAATAAGGTGTTGTTCTTTCCTATTTGATGAAATGGACTACAGATGGCCACACAAGCAGAAGAAAGCCATTGCAAAACATTTAAAATTTCTTTAATTCCATCTTTAAGAATGCATTTTTGGCTGCTGAGACTCTTGAGCTTTCTATCCTATCAGAAGTTGGGAACCTGAATTAAACAACGATGTCACCAGTGTTCTTCCAAAGCCACTCAAAATCATAAAATGCATATGATTTAAAAATTAATTAACAATGTAATATTTGTAGACTATATAAAACTGCATAGCACTGTGGATATGTGATACCTGCTTGGATGGACCAAATCTAGTTATTTTGCCACTACATTTTAATGTATATACTACAGGTATTGTGTTTGAGGATTCTCCTGACATGATTGCATGACTAAAACTATTCTGTTTAGTGTTTTTGTCTTCAAAATGTGCTTTATTTTCATAAAATTGTACTTTAATTGATAACATTCCAGGGGTATATATACAAACATATGCTTAAATGTGTTAGTCACGCTTATTTTTACCAGGTATTAAATTCTAGACTTAAAAGAATAACCTACATCGCTGAAGATCAAAGTCATTGAAAATAATACCAATCTGAAGTTGATGCAAGTGAGTATCCACTGAATTTTAGAATTCTCATGAAATTCTCATGAGGTACAATTCTCATGAATCAGAATAGACCTTCTCCTGTTCTTAATGAGCCTCAGCTAAAATTCTACCAAATCGCAACCTCCCAGTTTGCTGCTTTAAATTATTCTCTCTTCACTGTATTTCCCTCCATAAGGGATCATGCTGCTTAATGCGGGAAACCAGAGCTCTGTGACCACCTTCATCCTTTTGGGTTTCTCAGAATATCCACATCTACATGATCCTCTGTTTCTCCTGTTCTTTACCATCTACACAATTACTCTGATAGGTAACATGGGCATAATTGTGGTCAGAAGGATCAATCCCAAGCTCCACACACATATTTTCTCAGCCATCTTTCATTTTTGGATATATGTTATTCCAGTGTATTTACACCTAAACTGTTAGAAATTTTGATTGTGGAAGACAGGACCATCTCTTTCAAAGGATGTATGACACAATTCTTTTTTATATGTGCATTTGTGATTACAGAAATGTTCATGTTAGCAGTGATGGCCTATGATAGGTTTGTGGCTGTTTGTAACCCCTTGCTCTACACAGTTTCAATGTCTCCTAAGCTCTGTGGTTTCCTTGTAGCTGGAACATATATGTGGGGTGTACTCTGTTCCTTTACTATCACATATTCTCTTTTGCAACTATCTTACTGTGGACCTAACATTATTAATCACTTTGGCTGTGAGTACTCAGCCATTCTCTCTTTGTCCTGTTCTGACCCCACCTTCAGCCAAGTGGTATGTTTAATAATTTCTATATTCAACGAGACTTGTAGCCTCCTCATCATTCTGGCCTTCTATGTCTTCATAGTTGTCACAATCATAAAGATGCCTTCCAAGGGTGGACTCCAAAAAGCTTTCTCTACTTGCTCCTCCACCTGACAGCCATTATCATCTTCCATGGAATCATTCTCCTTCTCTACTGTGTGCCCAACTCCAAAAATTCATGGCTTGTAGTCAAAGTGGTGACTGTGCTTTTCACTGTCATGATCCCAATGCTTAACCCCCTCATCTACAGTCTTAGAAACAAAGATGTAAAAGGGACAGTCAGCAGACTCATGAGCTTAAAACTTCATTCTCACACAGCCTAATTTAAGCATATACATTACACATATAGGCATATTTATGACATATAAGTTGTTTATACTTTAGTCATAATTGAATTTATTACTTTTATTTTTTATATATGATATATACTTTGTCTTGAATATACAATATAATAACATGTTTTCTTGTACAAATATAATGTATTCAGCTTTATTATATAGAAATATGTGAAGTTTCTATATCAAATATTTTAAATCCCTCTAATGAACACTAATATAGAAGTTAGATTGGGAAAGGAAAATTACACAGCCAACTCTTTCTACTTATTTTATGCTTAATTTGACTTGTATTCAATAAATAATACAAAGATATAATTATACCTGTATTTTACAAAGTTCAAATAACTTTTTGAAACATTATTTTGATAACTATTATAAATAATTATTTTTGGTAAAACATGGCTAAAATTCCATCTTAATGTTATAGTTCGTGTAATGTCTTGTTTACAGTATGAAAAAGTGTGTTAATTTAAATAAGCATGCACTATAAATATTAGCTAGTATGTATAACACTCACTTTTGAGTATCAACATGGTATAATAAGCTTAATAAATGTCTTAAAACAATGCCATTATTAGGGAAATATTCTATTTATTCACAATAATGTCTGAATATAGTATATAAGATTGATATAAACATCAAAATAATAGATTATTGTTCTATCTCAAGCATCTTGAAATTACAAATGATATTTTCTTATGCAATGATTCTACATAAAGGATTCATCCAACAGGGGTTTGAAGCAGATGCTGAGACTTTGGGCAGAACTTTGGGCAGAGCAGGGAGTCTTATGGAGAAAGAGAAGGGTGGAATTAGAGGGGCATTGAGGGGACAGAAGGCCCACAAGAAAACCAACAAAATTAAAAAAAAATACAAACAAACATGTGAGCCCAGAGGGTCCTGTAGAGACTGATGCACCAAGGGAGGACCATGCATGGAAAGAACCTAGAACCCCTGTTCAAATATGGCCTATTGGCAGCTCAGTCTACATGCGGATCTCTGAGTGAGGGGAGTGGAGGCTGCCTCTATCATGAACTCAATTGACTGCTCTCTGATCACTCTCCCCTGATGATACAGCCTTGCCAGACCAAGGAGGAAGAGGATCCAGGCAGTGGTAATGAGACTTAACAAGCTATGGCTAGATGGCAATAGTGGAGAACTCCCCCTTGCAGGAGACTAGGGAAAGGGGATGAGGAGAAGAGGAAGGGAGGGTAGTATTGTGGGTGTTGATGGAGGGAGCTTCAATCAGGACATATAATGAATAAATTCTGAAGAAAAAAATGAAAATTAAGAAAACATCTGTTTCTGTGACTCCTTTTACTTGTGAAATACATAAAATAACCAAGCTGTTCTTGTGTTGACTATTAACAACAGAATAGCTCTTTGGAACTTAAAGGAAGGAGTTAGATGAAAGCGTATGGTTTAGAAATGAGTGCTCCAAAGTCTCTCACTCTCTGTATATTGTCCCCTTGTGGATCTATTGTTAATTTCCATTTACTGTAAAAACAACCTTCTTTAGTGAATGTTGAACAATGGACTGATCTATGGGATCAAAAATATGTCTTTAAGAGTCATTTTATATCTGACCCTAGCCTATCAGATTTCCTCAGGACTGGCTGCATTGTCTTCCATGTAGCCTGGTAAGGCTGCTCTCCCCTTAGAGGGAAGTGATCAGAGAGCCTGCCACTGAGTTCATGGTAGAAACAGCCCCTGATTCCCTTACCAGGGAACCTATTGGGAGACTGAGTCTGTGGGCTAATCTCAGTGGACTAGGGGAGGGGCAAAGAAGGAGAAAAGGGAGGGTGGGAAAGAGGCATTGGGAGGAGACAAGGGAGGGGGCCACAGCCAGGATACAAAGTGAAGAAACTGTAACAAATAATTAATTAAAAAATAAGAATACAAAAATGTGTCATTTTATGTTATGTTCTTTTTGGGTTTTATTTATTTATTTATTATTACAATTTATTCACTTTTTATCACAGCTGTAGCCCCCTCCCTCATTTCCCCCCAGTCTTACCATTCCTCTTTCATTTTACCCTATGCCTCTCTTCTAGTTCACTGATAGGGGAGGTTCTCCTCCCTTTCTATCTGACCCTAGCTTATCAGGTCTCCTTAGGACTGGCTCCATTGTCTTCCTCTGTGACCTGGCAAGGCTGCCCCACCCCCAGGAGGAGGAGGTCACAGAACCAGCCACTAAATCCATGTCAGAGACAGCACCTGCTCCCCTTACTAGGTGACATACATGAAGACTGAGCTGCCTATGGGCTGTATCTGAGTGGGGTTCTATGTCCTCTCCATGCATGGTCTTTGGTTGGTGCATTAGTCTCTGCAAGACCATGTAGGCCCAGAGTTTTTGGCTGTGTTGCTCTCCTTGTAGATCTCCTGTCCCCTCTAGGTCTTTCTATCTCCCCCTTCTTCCATAAGATTGCCTACACTCTAAGATTTGTCTATGAACTTGAAGTAAAGGGCCTTTATTATGTTGAGGTATGTTCCTTGTATCTATAATCTCTCCAGGACTTTTGTCAAGAAAGGGTATTAGATTTTGTCAAAGTTCTTTTCTGCATCTAATGAGATCATATATTTTTTATTTTTAGAATTGTTTATAAAGTGGATTTTATTTATCAAGTTATATATGTTGAACAATTGTTGTATGTCCTGAATGAAGGCTACTTGATAATGGTCTATTTTTTTTTTTTAGATATATGTTTTCATACTTTCAGCCTGAGCTGATGTCTATCCTTGATGGTAAGGTATGTTTATTTGATTCAGCAGAAGTACGGATCCTGTTCTGACCCATTCTGTTAGTGTATACCTTTTTATTAGGAAATTGATACCATTGATGTTAAGAGTTATTAACAAACAATATTTTCTCATTTCTGTTATTCGTGTGTGTGTGTTTTCCCACTTGATTTGCTTTTCTGTCATTGTTTATTTCTGCTGAGTCCTTGGATATGGTTAGCCTTTTCAGATTGAATTGTTCCTTCTCTTTCCTTTTATGGGGCTGGATTTGTACATAGTCACTGCTTAAACTTAGTTTTATTATGCAATATATTTTTCTCTACATGCATTGTGATTAATGTTTTGATAGATATATATTTTGGGAGGGTGTCTATGGTCTCTTAGACTTGGCACACAATCTTTCTAGGCCCGGTTGGCCTTTAGAGTGTCCATTGAGAAACAAATAGGCCTTATGTTAATTTGTCATTTTCTCTTGAAGTATTTAATCTTGTTTACTGATTTTTTATTTATTTTTTTGCAAGGGGACTTTATTTTCTGGTCCTGTCGATTTAATATTTTGTATGCTTCTTGTACTTCAATAGACTGCTCCATCTTTAGGTTGTGAAAATTTCCTATACTATTTTTTTGAAAATATTTTCTAAGACTTTGACTTCATTTTGTTTAGTTTCCTTTATTCCTAACAGTTGTAGATTTGAGATTCTCATAGTGCTCCAGATTTTCTAGATGTTTTGTCTCTGGAGTTTTTTTAGCTTTATCATTTTTCTTGTCCAACGTATTCATTTCTTCCATTCTTTCTTCAAAGTCTGAGATTTTCTCTTCCACCCCCTTTATTCTGTTTGTAAATCTTCCCTCTGAGCTTCATTTTGAAGGGCCTAAATTTTTCATTTCCAGATTTCCTTTTGTTTCAGTTTTCTTCATTGATTTTATTTTTGCTTTCAAGTCTTGAACTATTTTATTCCTTTCTTTCCACTGTGTGTTTGTGATTTCATAGCTTTCTTAAAAGATTTATTCATTTCCAATTTAAGGACGTATTTCATACTCACAAAGGTTGTTTAAAAGTGTTTATTTTGTGCATTAGCTTTGTTGCAATACTAAAGTCCTACTATAGTAAGACTGCTGGAATCTAGAGACATTGTCGTGGATGTAATTGATTTTTTTATTGTTGTTGTTTTGTTTGGTTTTTTAATTTATTTATTGTTTTATTAATTACAGTTTATTCACTTTGTATTCCAGCTGTAGCCCAATCCCACCCTCATTCCCTTCCCCCCCCTCCCAGTCCACTGAAAGGGGAGGTTCTCCTCCCCTTCCATCTGATTCTAGTCTATCAGTTATCATCAGGAGTGGCTGCATTGTCTTCATCAGCAGCCTGGTAAGGCTGCAGCCCCCTCAGGGGGAGGTGATCAAAGATCAGGCCACTAAATTCATGTCAGAGACAGCCCCTGTTCCCATTGCTAGGGAACTCACTTGGACACTGAGCTGTCATGGGTTACATCTCTGCAGGGGTTCTAAGATAACTATCAGTTTCAGAAGAAAAAAAAAACTGTGCCCCGATGTTTTGTTTTGTTTTTCTCACTTTTTGCTCCTGTCCCCTCCAAATCTTTCTATCTCCCCTTCTTTCATAAGATTTCCTGTACTCTGCCCAAAGTGTGGCTATCAGTCTCAGCCTCTGCTTTGATACATTGCAGGGTAGAGTCTTTCGGAGGTCCTTGTGGTAGGCTCCTGTTGTGTTCCCTGTTTGATGGTGTTTTTATGCTGCTGTCTTGTCCTCTCGATTTGGTAAGATTCTACTGTAGGTACTGATATCTCCTCTTTTCTTTATTGGGTGGGTTTCTTTTCCTTGGTTCATTTGTCTTTTCTGGTTCTTGGGAGAAAATGGTGGCTATACGTTGCCCAGTAGGGAATGTTTCTGGATCCTGCCAAGTGTGAGTATTGAGGGTTCTAGAATATGTTCTTAGGATTTGGGAGCTGACATTTAGGTATAGGTATAAGCTAGAAGTAGTGATGGCTGAAGAAGGACACAGAAGAGAGGAAAGCAAAGTATCTACCCTGCAGGCAAACAGTTTGCTTTGTTTCATTGTATTGGGCAGAGAGTGAGAAGAAATCAAAACAGGTTGTATAGTACAGATTTGGAATAACCCTGGGGAATTGGTTTTAGAGAAGGGAGAAAGTGAGGGGCTGAATCTCACCTAACTGATTCCCTAGCCTCCTTGCTTCTCCTACAGGCTTGGCCTGTGGTTCCCAGGAAA